GACACTTCATGTTTATTTCTTGTACAATAATATGTAATTTTTAAATCATCTATAAAAATAACTAACATGTTTAGAAAATTTGTACAAAATGGAATAATTTGCGATAGTTTTTTCATATTGCAATGCATGCACTCATGGATTAATATATAAATTCATGCATCTTCCTTTAAGGAAGTTACACAAGTTATACACTTATTAATGATTTGGAAACAAAGCTTTCAATAGCCGCTTTTTGATTCGATCTCGCTTTCAATACGGCTGATTTTGACTACGGTCGTCTTTTAACTTTAATTCAGTGGACTTTTAAAGCAACCGCTTTTTATTTGGCCGTTTTTTGTGTATGGCCGCCTTTGAATTTGATCTTTTTTTGATGTGGCCGCCCCAAAAGGCGCTGACCAGACGCGGCCCTGATTTGTACCAGAGTGGCGCTTAGCTGTGCTTAGCCTGGGTGATTTTTTTTAAATTTTCAATTAATTAAAATTAGAAACAAAATTTTTTTTTCCAAAAGCAATTGTTTTGTTTGAACAAGCAGAAAGTTCTTTGAATCATTTAAATCGGACGCTTAGTTCTCTCAAAAACTGCCATTTTTTTAACATTTAGCTCTGTATCTCCGAAACCGCTGAGCCTACCTTTGCCAAAAACTAATAACCACTTTTCCCCGTCATTGCGAATTGATTGCTTTTTGGATTATACAAATCCGTTCACAGAAAAACTCGATTTCTATTTTCTGCACTCTTTGCACTTTATCTCCGTAACTGCTGGACCTGCCTTTGCCAAAAACTAATCAGCACATCTCCTTATCAATAGGAATCGAATGTTTTTTGAATCATTCAAATTGGTTGATTCGACTACGCCGAAAACGTGGGTGAAAAATTGTATCCATACATACATACACACACACACACATCCATTTTTTCTTAAGTATGCCAAAATGTTCAGAAACCTTCAAAACCGTCGAAAAATGTAAAAATTTTCAATTCCGATTTTCGGCCCATTACAATAACTTACCCTACGGGAAGTTAATAATAACTTAATTTACTTGTTGTTATAATTTATAATCAAAATAAAAATTAAATTAAGTTAACTTCAGGTTTAAAGAGCCATATTTAAATATGTAAATCGCCAACAATAACTTATCGCGAACAATAAGTTTAACTTGCTGGAACTTCCCGTACCGTAACGAAATGTTCGAGGTATAATGAATGAATGTTTATGAATGAATTACTGAATGTTTTCAAATAGATTATTATAAATATTGTAACAATGTCTAATATTTATAAGAATTATATAAACTGAATTGCAGAGTTCAAATTATTTGTTTAAAGTATATTAGAACTATAGTCAGAATTTAAATTATTTTCGATATACCAAAAATTAAAAAAAACAAAATGAAACAATTTTTTTTTTCCAAAATCAATTATTTTGTTAAGACAAGCAGAAAGTTCTTTGAATCAATTAAATCGGACGCTTAGTTCTCTCAAAAACTGCCATTTTTTGTACATTTAGCTCCGTATCTTCGAAATTTGCGAAAAACTAAATAACCACTTCTCCCAATCATTACTAATTGAATGTTTTTTAGATCATTCAAATCGGATGCTCCGTTCTCTCAAAAACTCGATTTCTATTTTCTGCACTCTTTATCTCCGCTCTTTATCTCCGTAACTGCTGGACCTGCCTTTGCCAAAAACTAATCAGCACATCTCCTTATCAATAGGAATCGAATGTTTTTTGAACCATTCAAATCGGTTGATCCGTACGCCCGAAAACGTGGGCGAAAAATTGTATCCATACATACATACACACACACATCCATTTTTTTTGAAGTATGCCAAAATGTTCAGAAACCTTCAAAACGTCGAGAAATGTAAAAATTTTCAATTCCGATTTTCGGCCCATTACAATAACTTACCCTACGGGAAGTTAAATATGTTTTTGAGACACTAAATTATAATTTAAATTATTATATATTACACTTGTTTTTGAGACATTATGTTATAAAATTGTAAATTGTAATTTATACCATTCGTATCTCGCGCCAAAATAATTTTCCCAATTTTGAAATCGTCATTGATTATCATGAAGTTAACGTCATACCAAAAGCACGATATTTAAATCGTTAAATTTTTTTTTAACGTTATATTTTTTTTAAGTGATTATTATTAAGATTAACAACTTCAATCAATAGTAAAAGTACATTACATTATTAAATACAATATTAAATCAAATTTCCATTCAAATCTGGCGCCAAAACTATTCCCCTCATTTCACCTTGAAATGATTCATCTCCGTCGTTCGCGCTCGCTCGCTGTCAAGCGAAACAAACATCTGACACCATTCGCCGTATTTTCTTAACAAAAACAATATTTATACAAAATTTATGTTCAATAACACTGTGTAAACCCATAACTTATTCATAACTATGACAGCAAGTAGAAAAAGCAAGAGTTGTGCTAATTATACGATGAAGGTAATCTTAATCCCAAATTAGATCAGCACGCCTACGTAGTAAGATATAGAATTTGTTGTTTATTTTTGTTTTGTTTTGCAGAAAGTAGCAGCCGATCATGGAAAGTTCCTAAATAGGATCACCAAAACGCTTTATTATGGAAAACTACCGAATACTGATCGTTTTAGTATACCCATGTCAGGTAGGTTATGTCAGGGACAAGTAGGTCAAGATAAAAGACACAGAAAGAGCCCAAGAGTCTTTTTGACAATTAACTGTTTAATTATATATTACTAGCTGACCCCGCAAATGTTTTGCTAAGTACGGTATATTCTAAACAATTTCTAGAGAATCAAAAATGTTAATACTTCAAGTGTATAAGGATGCGTTGTTTGAATGCTATATACAATGAGGTACTATAAACCCCATTAGTTCGTCTATATTTTGTCGATACAATCACACTGCAAGTTTTATACACTTTCTATACAAACATGGTATAATCCAATCCCAAGTCTTTTTGGTCTTTCGACTTATTGATTACGTTTCAAGTTTTTTCAGATTCTTTTTGGATTCTGGATTTTGTGTATAGTTGTAAATAATACTACTGAGCTTATACAAAATTTTCAAATTTTTGCGAGGAGAGATAGAAAATGAATTAAGTATTCTTCTTTCACCTGCTTTTTGAAAAGTTTCAAGTAACATTCGAAAAATTAAAGTAAATTTAATAAAAGGTATATGTGCAGAGGAGACGAGACACAGGTCCAATTTGACTTTGAGCAAATATAAACTATATATAAACTATAACTATAAACCAGAACAATTATATCACAACAAATAACACATTTCAAACGAATAATTATCTGACTACGTTCTGTAAACTATCTTCTACTTTGTAGAAATGTGCTTTTTTGATGTCTTTCAAAATTTGTTATCTAGACCTTTTTACCCCATAGACGGGGTAAATTGGAACGGCCAGGTGGCAAACAGGTTTAATGTCTTATTTTAATTTTAAATGTATTTTACAAAATAATTACATTTTAACTAATGCTTAAAAACTACCCACGGAAAAAATACTTTTATTATGGATTTTCAAAGATTACCTTTTATCTCCCGATAGCAAAGTCATAAGAATCAAGGTTATAGATGATTATACATTAGTTTTCCTACTTCCAATATTATTGTTAAATAATTCTTAACTTTACTAGTTTTCACAACACATTGGTGGTGGACCTTTTTAACCCCGGACCTTAATATATTACTATCTATTCTTTGATAAATTCTGGGAAATTATAACTGAGAAAATGTTATTCGACAAAATGTCCCTTTGATCGATACCAAATTTAGGTTCTGAATTTAAATAACATAAATAAAAAATAATATAACCTAGAAATATTTTATAAATACCAATGAGTATACAATTATACAAATGAGATCTTTCAGAGCACCATGTTTGAGAAAAATATGATTTGCAAAAATTTAGTGCTACAGCGCCAAAATGTATTTTCATATTAACATTTCAAAAAAATTGATATTTTGAGTTTCTAGAAACACTTGCGATCCGTTTAATAACGTTTTTGTGTATAAATAAAACTACAAACAAAACTACTACTATAACAAAACATCCTATTAAAACATAATTGAACATCATCTGTCGAAAACGTTTGACATTTGACGTATTAGCCACCGTCCATTGTTTTATTCAAATTACGCTTCTACAAAAATGTTCAAATTAAAAATGTAAAGTTTCTACGCGATTTTGAAATAATTTCTCACCTTACCGACAACCTAGTGATTAGCACGAATTTTTCAAGACTAAGACTGGCCAAATCGGTTTAGCCGTTTTCGAGTTTTAGCGGATCATTTTATCGAGAGCACCATTTTTATATATAACAAGATAACTATCAACATAAACAAGAGTCAATTACTATTATTTCTTTTTTCCAGAGTTGGCAGTGGAGATGTTCTCCGAAGCCCATCGTGGCCACACTCTGCAAAGACTACAAATGAACTCGGCTTGCAACATATCTCGAAATGCTTGTGTCAACCCCTGCGCTCTCGTATTGGCTATGTTATATTTGGACAGACTACGTGATTGCAACCCAGAATATGTGCGACAAGTAGCCCCCAGCGAACTGTTTTTAGTATCCTTGGTAAGATATGAAAATCATAAAATAGAAAAGAATAAATAGATGTAAAGTAGTGGGGCGCATGGCATTGTGCCTTAAGGCAAATTGCTGGAACTTTCCACACCGTAATTTGAGAAATGAAAATAATCAATAATTGTTTTGAATAATTTCAAATAGGTTATTTATTATAAATGCATACTGTAAACTTATAAGTGCTTTTTAAATTAGGCAATGAGTGTATTCTACAAACAACTTTGTGTATGTTTACAAGAAATTTCTTTAATTTTATTTAAATTGATTTTTTTTGATAGTTTTAAAATTTTTATCTTCGCGTAGGGTAAGTTATATTAATCGCTAAAATGAAAAATTTTATATATCTTTACGTTTCAGAGGTTTCTGAACATATTGGCATACCTTAGAAAAAATGGATGTATGTGTGTGGGTGCGGATACAAATTTTCATCGACAATTTCGGGAACACCGATCAACCGATTTGAATGATTAAAAAAACATTCGATTCGCATTGATGAGGAGACGTGCTGATTAGTTTTTGGACGGAGGCAGGTCTAGCCGTTCCGAAGATACGCGGCAAAAAGTGCCAATAACGGTAACTCAGTTTTTAAGTGAACGGAGCGTCCTATTTTGATAATTCAAAAAAACATTTTAATTGGATTGACAAGATGAAGAACTGATTAAATTTCTGGGAAGACAGCTCTAGCAGTTTCGGAGATGTAGTAAAAAAAGTAAAAAAAAAGACTAACATATGTCTAATAAACATTTTTGACCGCAAAATGGCATTTTTTTACTTTTTTTTATTGAGAGTCCATAACCACTGAACATGCCTTTCCAAAAAATTGAACAGTTCTTTGTTTAGTCAATACAAATAAAATGTTTTTTGAATTATTCAAATCAGACGCTCCGTTCTCTCAAAAACTGAATTAGGACTTTTGGTTCTATTTGCCCGTATCGTCAAAACGCTAGACCTGCCTTTGGCAAAAACTAATCAGCACGTCTCCTTATCAATACGAATCGAATGTTTTTCGAATTATTCAAATCGGTTGATCCGTCTTCCCGAAATCGTCGACGAAAATTTGTACCGCACTCATCCATTTTTTCTAAGGTATGTCAAAATGTTCAGAAACCTTTGAAACGTAAAGATATATAAAAATTTTAATTAAACGATATAACTAAGTTTTTGGATTGTTCAGATGGTCTCTAGTAAGTTTTTGCATGACGATGGAGCTGAAGATGAAGTATTTTTACACGAATGGGCTGTCTCAGGGGGTATTACCGTAGCAGCTTTAAAACAACTAGAAAAAGACTTCCTAAATGCAATGGTAAGCATATATATTTACAATTGCATGCAGAAATACTTGCAATATATATCTTTTCCCCCAGGATTGGAAAATATTTATATCAGACTCCAAATTTTGGTCAGAGTTTGAACATTTAGAGCAAATTCTAGCCCTACGAGAGGCCAATAAGAGAGGCTGGTTTACTTACTCAGAGCTATCCCTTCTACTTCCTTCATCAGACCTTGCCAAATTAATTCTTTGTGCCACCGGTATCCTAACCGTTAGCTACATAGCCAGTTTAATTGTAATGTTTGGAGCAGTCTTCATCACTAGCCAAATACCTGGAAATGCAATTAAGACTTATAGTGAAAGCCAAGACAAGTCCTGGTCAAATGAAACCTTTAATCAAGACATGGAATTAGATAGCAAATTGGATATTGATGTAAATGATTATTAGACTTCAATTACACCTCTGAATTACAATTAGACAAAGATTATTTTCCCGATGATGTTAATAGATCTGCAATTGACTCGATTCTACTGAGTATAAGAATTTAACTAAATGTTTTGACCGGGAAAAACAAGATTATCGTCATTTTGTTAGAACAGCTACTTGGTATTCGATAATTTTTTGACTAACGTTTTTTCTAGATGCTGTCTTCCATTTTGTAATAAACTAAACACTTGATAGAAAGAGGAACTTATTTAGTTTACATTCAAATCTAAATTATTTATATTTATTGGAACTGAAATTGCAATCATTTTATAGAGATGTATATTTTTGGAAAGAATAAAATTTATATTTATGGAATTTTAGTTTTATCTAATAAGTAGGTGTAAGTGAATTTTTTTCTTATAATCCAGTCATTTATGCTTAAATTAGGTAAAAATCTTGAAATTCGAGATACCAGCTGTAAGTCTGTAAATACTTGTATATTGACACCCTAAAGTTGTCTCAAAACCTACATATGGTATTGACACTCTGCATATGTAGGTTTTGAGACAACTTTTAGGATATCAATATACAAGTATTTACATCTGGGAATTCCGAGGTGAACTTACTATAATGACCGGACTATAAGTATATTATTTTCAGAGATATTCCGAAATGATCAAGAGGTCTGGATATATAAAAATATTGTTACAAATAAACGTAAATATTCAGATACGCATACACACAAACTACACAATTACACATTATTTTCCAAAATACAAAGTGATCAGAAGGTCTGGATATGCCAAGATATTAAAATAAACGTAAACAAAAAATCCTAATATACAGATGCACATACTACAAATATATGCATCTGTGTTCTTTATTTTCTGAAATATTCCAAAATGATCAGGAAGTCTGGGTATGTTAAGATATTGGTATAAATAAACGCAAATAAAGCCCGGTGCACACGACGCCAGTATTCCTTGTAATATGATTTCTATCGTAACAGGATTTCTAGCGAGCAAGAATTTTGCGCCAGATTTTCACTTATTTTATGATTAATATTAATTTCGTACATTTTCAAATAGATTATTATAAATATATACTGTGAATTTCACAATTTATATTTTATAGGTCTAAAATACACTAATGCTTATAAGTGTACAAACAGAGAATTGTATGAATTGTAAACAAAAACATGTACGTATCGCATCTGATTAGAATTAAGTGAAATAATAATAATTAAAAGATAATAAAATGCTTCAGTTTAAGGGGCACAACTAGTGTGAAATTTTCAAACTGTAGTCGAATTTTCATATTTTTCATATTTCGATAGGTTATACCTTTAAAAATAACATACCAAAATTTCAAATCGATATCTTAAATAGTTTTTGAGTCACAGCCATTTAAAGAGTATATAATAGTATATAGTATAACGATCATATTTAAACGCGTTTTTCTCGAAACAGCATTTTTCGAATTTGCTGCAGCGATTACTCAAAACAAATGATCCGATCACTATCAATTTTTTGTACATGCTTTTATATAGTTCTCGTAAGATAAACTATCGATTTTTTGATAGGATCAAAAATCGAATTTTGGCAGTCCAAAAACTTTTTTATAAAAACGACGCCATTTAATCAATTTTTGATTTCTGTTTTATCGTAGTTCATTTTACAGACAACATTATCTAGTTTAACGATTTTTTTTTTTGGATTTGATCCACGTAGAAGGCCGGAATCATTGCATCAGTGAAAGGCCTTTTTTGTGCCGTTGGAGATCTTAAGACGATAACTTAAAAGATATTTAGTTTTTTTCTTAAAAAATTTGAGATGTGCTGATTAGTTTTTGGCAAAGGCAGGTCCAGCAATTACGGAGATAAAGAGCAATGAGTGCAGAAATTTAAATGGAGTTTTGAGAGAACGGAGCATCCGATTTGAATGATCTAAAAACATTCAACTAGTAATGATTGGGAGAAGTGGTAATTAGTTTTTGGCAAAGGCAGGCCCAGCCCATTTCGAAGATACAGAATTTGAGAATACAGTTTTTGAGAGAACTAAGCGTCCGATTTAAATGATTCAAAAAACTTTCTGCTTGTTTTACCGAAACAATTGATTTTGGAAAAAAAATCTTGTTTCAAATTTTTTTTTTCGAAAAAAAAAAATTTTGTGTATCGAAAATAATTCAGATTTTTATTTTAAATTTCGTTCTAATATACTTTAAACAAATAATTTCAACTTTCCAATTCAGTTTATATAATTCTTATAAATATTAGACAATGTTACAATATTTATAATAATCTATTTTAAAACATTTATATTCCTCGATCATTTCGTTACGGTACGGGAAGTTCCAGCAATTTGCCTTAAGGCACGATGCCATACACCCAACTAATTTTTTTTTAATTTTGAGTATTTTTGCATATTTCGAAATTTTTGAAATAAACGATTTGGTTTTTTTTGTAATTTTTGGAAATTTTGAATTTTTTGATATTTTAGATAAATTACGAAATTTGAAAAAAAAATGCATATTTAAATTTTTTCGGAAATTTGAATATTTTAAATTACTGAACTGCCTTTCCTAAACTAATCATTTATCACGCCGCTATATATACACAATAGCTATTTACAAAATAAAAACTAAACGCTTCCAAAATCGAAGCAAATGAATCAAGTACGCATGATATTTTCGTGTCAAAATACAGCTTTCCTATTGGACACTGAAGGTATCGGCCACGAGATCGTTCATCTATCGCCGACATAGGACATGCTCTATTCGTAAAATACGGCAGGAATTTGCAAGGATTGAAGTTGTTATGAAATCAAATTCCGACGGTTGTTAAGGCAACGATTTTCTGAGATATTTCGAAATGATCAGGAGGTTTGGATATATAAAAATATTGTTACAAATAAACGTAAATACTAAAATACACATACAAACATACACACAATTATACACCTTTAAGTGCATTATTTTCCAAAATCGAAATTGATCAGGAAGTCCAGATATGTCAAGATATTATAAATAAACGTAAATAAAAGATCCTAATATACAGATGCACATACTACAAATATATGCATCTGTGTACTTTATTTTATGAAATATTCCAGAATGATTAAGAGGTGTGAACACGTAGAAATATTGTCACAAATAAACGCAAAAAATCTTTATGTAGATACGTACTTAAATACTATAGATATACGTAGCTAATAGTTTAGTCATTTAAGCTTAAATTGGATAAGAATCTCGGAATTCCAGATACCCAGCTGTAAGTCTGTAAATATTTGTATCTTGACACCCTAGAGTTGTCTCAAAACCTGCATATGATATGGTGTACGAAACATATGTAGGTCTTAAGACAACTGTTAGGTGTCAATATACAAGTGTTTACAGACTTACAGCTGGGTATCTCGAAATCGGAGGTGAACTTACTATAATGACTGGACTATTAATTATTACCCTACTATATGTAGGTTTTGAGACAACTTTTAGGATGTCAATATACAGTGTATACAGACTTACACAATTTGCATGAACTTCCAAATATTTGTAAATAGTCAATCTATTTAATAACTAGTGGTGTATCGCTTTGTGCCTTAAGGCAAATTGCTGGTACTTCGCCAATCATAATGAAATATTTGAGGAATCAAAGTTTTCAAATAAATTATTATAACTTTCATTATTCATATTTTATAGACGAAATGTAAGAGCTTATAAATTGGACTTAAAATGAAGAACATTGTCTAATATTTATAAGAATTTTATATACTGAATTGTAAATGATTAGATTGAACTATCATTAAATTATTTTTGAGCAATTTTAAATACCACATAAATACTGTACATCTCTGATTAACCCTCTATCGGCCAAATTTTAAGGTCACAAAATAAAACACTTAAAAAATACTAGAGGCGCCCAAGTATATCCCAAATTGGCTGATCCACCATATATGTTTGGCTAAACATATTGGCTGACTCCAATATGTTTACAGTAACAGTAGAAATCAGAAGACATGTCCAAGTACAAAACTAGATTTGAATACCATCAGAACCAATTTGGAAATGGCTTGCTTTCCTCAAATATCCCCAATAGACTCAGAAGAACAAAGTCTTTAGAATTGTAAAGTTAAAATTATTTATTTGAGGTACACAAGTGAGCTTTAGAACTTTGGCTAGAATTAGAATTAAAACTCGATATTTAAATAAAAATATTTTTTCGAAATTGAAAAAAAAATTTTTTCAACTTACCGTAGGGTTTTTTTTATAGCAAGGGAAATGCCTTTATGCATTCGAGATTGGTCTTTTGCCTGGACATGTCGGACTCAATACCGCCCTGGTATTAAACTAAAACCTCCGCTTTGCCCTTGCCTCTGGTCCCCACGGAAACCGCCGTAGGCATTACTACTCGTGGGGGGAGGATCTAGAATGTTATAATTCTAACTTGTTATAATAAATGTTATAATTCTTAAACTTATACTCATATTTAAATGCGCGAAGTCCCATGCACGCTTTCTCTTTCCATAGAACGCAGGTCAATTAGTACATTTCTCGCAAATCTGTCTATGGCGTTCCAAGCAGTTTCACTTGTCAGCATAACTTCAACATTACCTGGAGTAATTCTTCGCCTCAATATCTCTTCTACATCGTCCCGTCCCGAGCACTAAATCACGGGCACACAAAGAACACGTGTGCAACATCTTCGATTTCGCCCAACAATATGGGCAGTCCGGCGAGCTATCGTGCTTGAAGTGGTGTAGGTAGGCTCGAAAACAGCCGTGCCCAGATAGCATTTGTGTAGTTTAATAATTCTCCATGCTTGCGATTTAGCCAGACTCTGATGTTTGGAATGCGACGATGCGTCCATCTGCCCTTTACTGCAACATACCACAGTTGCTGCTACCTGTCAATGCTGTTCTGCCATTCCTTTAGTCTCAACTTTTCTGGATTCACTTGATGTCTTCCTTGGTAAATTGTCCGTCTTTCCTCAGCTAAAGAGGAGAGTTTCTTACATCCGTCTTTCCTCCGATATTGTGCGAAATGCGCAACAACTCTTAAAGCACTCAGACGATATATAGATTCTGCTATTCTCTGCGAAGTAACCACTGATTATGATGTGTGTGTGTGTATGTATGTATGGATACAATTTTTTGTCCACGTTTTCGGGAGCACGGATCAACCACTCAGACTATAGTCTGATCCGTGCTCCCGAAAACGTGGACAAAAAATTGTATCCATACATACATACACACACACACACATATATATATATATATATATATATATATATATTCTGATAGTAACCACTGATTATGATGTGTGTGTGTATGTATGTATGGATACAATTTTTCAACCAATTAGAATGGTTCAAAATTCTGTTTCTCTCAAAATTCCACGATTCCTATTGATATGGAGATGTGCTAATTAGTTTTTGGCAAAAGTCGGTTCAACCGTTTTGGAGTTACGGAGCAAAGAGTGCAGAAAATAGAAATCGAGTTTTTGAGAGAACGTAGGATACGATTCGAATGATCCAAAAAACATTCAATTCGTAATGATGGGGAGTAGTGATTAGTTTTTGGCAAAGAAAAAGGCAGGTCCAACCGTTTCGAAGATACAGAGATGAATGCACAAAAAATGGCAGCTTTTGGGAGAAATAAGCATCCGATTTGAATGGTTCAAAAAAATTTCTGCTTGTTTCAACAAAATAATTGCTTTTGAAAAAACAAATCTTTTGTTTCAATTTTTTTTTCAAAAAATTTTCTTTTTGTATATCAAAAATAATTCAGATTTTAAGTTTAATTCTGGCTAAAGTTCTAAAATTCACTTATATACTTTAAATAAATATATTTAACTTTGTATTTCAGTTTATATAATTCTTATAAATAATTAAACAATGTTACAGTATTTATAAAAATCTATTCGAAAACATTTAATATTCCTCGAACCTTTCGTTACGCTGCGGGAAGTTCCAGCAATTTGTTTCAAGGCACGATGCCAAACACCACTAGTTTAATATATTGATTTATTATTGACTAAGTCAATTATTTACACATGTCTGAAAAATCATATAACTTGCCTTAAGGCAAAATTTCACTTTTAACTTGTTCAAATTAGGTCTCAAACAATTTAGAATGACTTGACGTCAAGAAAACATGAAATTAGGAAATCGGATAGTTTCCGATAGGAAATGCGAAAACAAACTTCTTCGGGAAGTTAAAAATCAAACAGTTGATTAGTTATTGATAAATATCGGCTGAGCCGTTTCTTCATAATTAAATCTTGAATTTTTTTTTTTGACGATTTTGATGATAACGTAGTCTGAAATAACCTCGTAATATATTATAGACATATGATTAGCGATTCCCAATCAACATCAGTTTTTGAATTTTTAAAATCGATTCAAGATTATGGGTTAAAACGTGGACGAAAATTTTCTACTTTTCTGCTTATTATAGAGCGACTACTTGACCGATTATCGCGCAAATGCTCGTCCGTACCGAGTTACATCGAATGGCTTTTAACTTTCTCAAATCGGTCCAACCGTTTTTGAAAAAACGTCGACGAAAGGTCAAAAATCAGCTTTCTCACAACAATATGCTTTATCCAGATTTGGTCTCAAACGATTCAGAATGACTTGAAACGATGAGAAAACATAAAATTAGCAAATTGTATGTTTTTGCAAAAACAAAATTCTTCTCATTAATTATTTGTAATATACTTCCATTTTCATATTGTAGTCCAAATGCACTAATTTTTTAATAACAGAAAAAGGTTATGGCAAGGCCATGTTACGCTCCAACTTCCATACATTATGGTACTAAATCATACTGAATACTGTCAAAATGTCATGTATTTGCTGTGCATTCGGGCATTTTACACATAAACTGCAAGTCACTCGTATGTTATGAAGCTGGGTCAGAAAGAACCTGTTATCTAACATTGTTTTTTGACATTTGTGCGGTTTCTAGGTTAGGTTTTGTATCCGACAACCTGTGAAATACGCCTGACTGCACACGAACCAAATGGCATTGTCAATATTTAGTGTGGAAAGTTCTTCATAAGATAGCCTTGCCATAACATTGGTCTGTTATGCGGCAGAATCCGTCCATATAACTCCACTATTATAATGAAGACAGTCTTTCACTTTCACTTACCTAAATAAGCAATCCAAATATAATTATAAAATATCATAAAAATTATATTTCATATTAATCACTTTAAATATAATATAAGACAAATATATTAACAAAAAAAAATACATCTTACGATGTATGTAGTATGTTTTCAACGATACATAATTCTACTAGAACTATATAACATTTCGGGATCTACACTTGAAAGTTCATGCCTGTGGCAAATAAAATCTGTTTCTTCTTTTTCTTGCTCTTCTTGGAAGCATTCTCTTTCGTAGCACCTGCTGAATAGAAAAAGAATCACAATAATAATTGATTGACCTTAAACTATTATTAAAACTGATTACTCCTGGTTAACAGATTCATAAAGTTTTACCATTCGATTGGCAGCTCTTCTCCATAGCCTGGCTGATGGCATCCCTGAAACTCTGAGTGTAGCTTGGAGCTGGTACATAGTTAGGATCATAATCAGGATCCTGTTCCACGTTTATTGAATCAGTTTGTTGCTGAGATGGTAAAGCTGCCCATTTATTTTGTCGAATAAAATCAGTACCCTGACTCGGGGATCGTGCCATTGTTAACATCTGATAAAAAGGCAAAAAATAGAAAATGTAAAACTTCAATGGAAAAACTAAAGTCTTCAAAAATAATGTTTTAAGTAAATTAAATTTATTTTGAGAATAGTTTTCTCTAAATTAAAAATTATAAATCATAAATGGTTGATAGGTATATTGAGTTGATGTATCTTCATCTTCAATCTTCACCAAAAAACTAACCAGCAATCACCAACTGATATATTTCGAATGGTTTTGAATTTAAGAAACCTGTCAGGATTTCTGGCAGAAACGTAAATAAAACTAGTGGTGTATGGCATTCAGCAAGTTGCTGAAATTTTCCGTACCGTAATAAAATATTCAAGGAACATTAACTGTTTTGAAATAGATTATTACAAATACTGTAACTTTCATTATTCTTATTTTAAAGACCAAATATAAGAGCTTTAATGTATTGGGATGATGATGTTGATATAAGTTTATATGAAAAGTAAAGAATAAACAAAACCTAGTCAAGCAAAGTTAGAATGAAGGACCTTATCTCATATTTATAAAAATTATATAAACTAAATTGCAAAGTTAAAATTATTTATTTGATGTATATAAGTGAGCTTTAGAACTTTAATTACAATTAAATTAAAATCCGAAATATTTTCGACAATAAAAATTTTTTTTGGGAAATAAAAAAAAATGAAAAAAACTCTTTTCCCCAAAAGCAATCGTTTCATCAACACAAACAGGAAGTTTTTTGAATCATCCAAATCGGATGCTTAGTTCTCTCAAAAACTGCCATTTTTTGCACATTAGCTCCGGATCTCCAAAATGCCTGTACCTGCCTTTGCCAAAAACTAATCAACACTTCTCCCAATCAGGACGAATTGAATGTTTTTTTTAATCATTCCAATCGGATGCCCGGTTTCCCGAAAACTAATCAGCGCTAATCCCCATCACTAAAAACGATTGCTTTTTCAATCATTCAAATCGGTTGAGACGTACTCCCAAAAAAGTCGACAAAAATATGCATCCCCCCTCCCACACACACACACATCCATTTTCTCTAAGGTATGCCAAAATGTTATGGAACCTTTGAAACATGAAGATATGCAAAAATTTTCATTTTCTGTTTTCGGCTCACTACTATAACTTAAACTAAGGGAAGTTAATAAGTATAATCAGTTGATGTAAAGCGTTATAATATTCACCCAAAAACTAACAAGCAATCACCAACTGATATCTTTTGATTGGTTTTGAATTCTAGAAATCTATCAAGATTTAAAACGTAAATACAATTTTACATTTACTGCTATTTTAAAGAAATGGCTTTGCGATCGTCGCGAAAAACCCAACTAAGTAAGTCTTATTAGAGTTTTATTAAATAGCATTGATGCAGCCGTTTTTTAAAAATCGTGAACATAAGATATGAATTTTGACCCACACACAAACATATTTGTTACAATTTCATTGTCAAATGATTCAAAATGACTTGAAACGTTGAAATAACAAAAGTTAGCAAATTGCATTATGTGTCAAAATCAAACTCCCTTGGGAAGTTAATATTACAACAAAAAAACTTTGTATTCAAAATTTTGTATATTTGTTAACTTCTCACAGGGTAAGTTATAGCAATGGGCCAAAAATTGAAAATGAAAATTTTTGCATATCTTCGCGTTTCAGAGGTTTCTGAACATTTTGGTACACCTAAAAAAAAATAGACGTGTTGTGAGTGTGTGTGTTCGCAATTTTTCGTCCACGTTTTCGGTAGCACCGCTCAACCGATTTGAATGATTCAAAAAGCATTCGATTCCTACTTATGAGGATTAGTTTTTGGCAAAAGTAGGTCCAGCCGTTACGGAGATATGGATCAGAGAGTGTTGAAAACGGAAATAGAGTTTTTGGAAGAACAGAGCATCCGATTTGAATTTATTCAAAAAACATTCAATTCGTAATAATAAGAAGACGTGGTGATTAGGTAAGAAACTGTTTTAGAGATAAGAGGTCAAAAGGTAAAAAAAAATCGCAGTTTTTGAGAGAACAAAGCACCCGATTCGAATGATTCGAAAAAAAAAAATTTTTATTGCAAAGTTTCAATTTATATTTGAAATATCGAGAATGATTCGGATTTTAATTTTAATTCTAGCTAAAATTCTAAAGCTCACTTATGTACTTAAAATAAATTTACATAATTCGTAGAAATATGAGATAAGATCCTTTAATACTAACTCTGCTTGATTAATTTATAAACTTTTATATTTTTTCTATAAAATACAAATAAAAAATGTTAAGTATTTTTAATAATTTATTTGAAAACATTTAAAATTCCTTGAATATTTCTCATTATGGTATGGTATGAGAAGTTCTATTTGCTTCAGTGCACAATGCCACTAGTGCACCACTAGTTTATTTTTAATAATTGAACTACTTGTTGTAAGCCTTTAATATTTTAGTATGTTCATCAAGGCCATGAACTCTATTGCTCTATAAAGTATCATTGAAATCGCAAAAAAAATGAACAAAAAAATTATGAAGAAATGTCTGGACCAACATATCAGCACGATTTTTCGTCATAAACTATTCAGCACGATTCTCAAATCATATCTTTCAAAAAGTTTTCAAATTTCCAAAATTCAAAAACACACACACACACATACTTCTTGCAAATTTGGTCTCATTCGATTGAGAATGACTTCAAACGTCGAGAAAATATAAAATTAGCAAGTCAGATTTTTTTGGGAAGTTAATAAAATTTCGATCACACAAGTAATCTAAATCATTTATCTTTTACTACCGTGGCAAATGATGGTCCAGGCGACGTCCCCAAATTATCCACTCCAGATGCCTGATGGTCCAATGAATCAGATTCATTTCCAACAGACTGAGGGCTTCCATAAGTTGGAAAATCGCTTTCCCAATTTATTTCTCGGTTTGTTTGAGAAGAACCAGCAATGGGCAAACCTCTCTGCTTCCGTTCCTGCTCTATGGTTATCTGCATGTCCCTTCTGTTCTCTTCACGACATTTGCGGAGTCTTAGCCTGCGCCTGGTTTCTAACTGATCTGGATAAATAAATCATGGTGATAAATAATTTAGTGGTGATATTAAATAATTTGGTGGTGATACTAAATGATTGCAAGTACTTACTGTGGAAGTATTCAAGCGATTCAGGACTGACAATAGGTGGTCGTAGTTTGAGCTCGACCAATTCTATCTGGCAAGTTATTGGAAGGTGCTCCAAATATCTAGAAGAAAGTACGTCTCCTTAACTATGATAAAATTATAAAGCAACAAGTAATCATCAATTCCCAATTACTATATAAGATTGAATTAAAGTAGGTGCAAGTGGCATATTGCCTACAGGTTAGTTGGATGAACTTCTCAAAACATGTAAATCAGTGATTCCCAAAGTCGTCTAGACTAGTCTCCCCTTCCCCAGGAGATCTCGTAAGCAAAAAAAATTCGATGTCTAGGAAATGAAAGTGAGGTGCCATGATAATTAGCACCACGTTAATATATATTTACTAAATCTATAATAAAAAGACATACAAGATCAATGATTATAACTAAAAATATAACTTTTTATAAAAATTTGTAAGTACTATCATAAGTAGGCATTTGATTTGTGGCCGCAATATGGTTGAGCTTGTAAATACCCTATTTGCGCTTTGTATTACCCTAAATGATTATTGAAAAGCTTGATAATTTTCTTTGGGTTTTTTGAGACTTAGTATTTCTGAATACTAAAAATAAATAAACAGTAGAAAGAAGGTTTAGCTTTGTTACTGATATTCTATCATAAAAAGATATAGCCTGGACATTATTAGCCAGAAGATGTAAGATTCAACCTTACAAATTTGTTGTACTAGTGGTGTACGGCACCGCGTCTCAAAGCAAAATACCGGAACTTCCCGTACTAAAATTTAGGAATTTTAAAAAAGATTCAATTTTCTTCTAGAACTCGAATTTTGAGATTTTAGAAATCTTTGAAAAAAATTGACTATTTGCAAAATTTAATTTTTTTCATACTTTGATATATTTTTGAAATTTTGAACTATTTAACTTCCTGTAGGGTAAGTTATAGTAATCGTCCAAAAATCAAAAATAAAATTTCGCATATCTTCACGTTTCAGAGGTTTCTGAGCATTTTGGCATACCTCAGAAAAAATGGACGTGTGTGTGTGTGTGTGTGTTGTGTATGTGTGTGTGTGCGTACGTATGTGTGGAAACATTCAATTCCTATTGATGGGGAGATGTGCTGATTAGTTTTTGGCAAAGGCAGGTCCAGCCGTTTTGGAGATATGAAGCAAAGAATGCAGATAATAGAAATCAAGTTTTTCAAATCAAGGATCAACTGATTTGAATCGTTCAAAAAACATTTAATTCATATTGACTGGAAGATGTGCTGGTAAGTTTAAGCAAAGACAGGTCCAGCCGTTTCGGATTTACGGAGCAAAAAGTGCAACATTCGATTCGAATGATACAAAAAACATGTAATTATATAAAAAACTTGTATTGTGAGTATGAAGAAACTATTCGTTTTTTGTAAAAGCAATAAAAATAATTTCTCAATTTCAAAAAAAAAAATTAAATATCGGATTTTAATTATAATTCTAGCTAAAATTCTAAATCTTATTTATATATTCAAAATAAACAAATTTAAATTTGCAATTCAGTATATATAATTCTTAAAAGAAATGGAATTAGGTGCTTTAATTCTAACTCCGCTTGTTCTATTTTTTTACTTTTCATGTAAACATATATAAACATTGTCGTACATGTAAAAGCTCTTATATTTTGTCTATATAATACAAACTATAAAGTTATAGTATTTATAAAGACCTATTTGAAAACATTTAAAAATTTTTGACTATATCATTACTGTACGGAAGTACAAGCGATTTGCCTTAAGGCACAATGCCATGCACCACTAGTTCTTATATAATTTGTCTATAACTAGGTGACAAGTTCGAAATATTTGTACAAAATTGAATAAATTGCAATAATCGCAATTAATAAAACACTTATAAATTAATATATTGATTTCTAATTGATCAAGTCTGTTATTTACAGATATCACGAAAACTAATGCAAGTCATTTTGAGTCATACTTACACCTAGTAGTTTGACCTTTTTCATCATTTATCTTTAAACTAATTTAAATAGTAGAATTAGTTTGGATTATGTCATTAGTTTTAATCTAAAACAATTTAAACTTCAAAGATTTTGCAATTTAAATTATACCTGTTAAAATTTCCTACTTGTACCTTAATCATGTTTAAAGATTTTTGGATAAACTTAAAGAAATAATGAATAGAAACAATATTGCAAAGTTTTTGTTCAAATTGGAAAACACCAAGTGAGGTGAGTGTAACAATTTCGAATGACTTGAAACGTTGAGAAAACAAATTTAGCAAGAATTTTTTGGGAATACATATTATTATTTGAATATTAATATGCTAACTTTTCTGATTATTTCAGGTTCATAAAGTCAGCCAGCCTTCCAATTTTAAATATTTGCTTAATCAACTAAATAGGTCTATTAAACAATGCTTGTTCATTTAAATTATAATAATCAGACAAAATATCGCCGGAGTTTGACTTGAGCACCCTTATCCTAACAAAAATATCAATTCTTACCTCAATCTTTTACGTAACTCTTCAGTAACAGTTAAAACTTCACGTGCCTCCACAGATGTAGTTATAGTTTTTGGACAATTTGCCAATGAGCCATAGGAATATTCTAAAATTCTGGCACACAGACCGGCTAAATAAATATGCTGCCCATCCAGAGCTGTAAAAGATAAATAAAAACGATTTATATAATAATTAAATAATAATAATAAAACATGCTGGTCTGTATGAGTAAAATACAATTTTAATTTAATGTGGTCTTCAATAAACAATTTTTACAATTTTAATCTAATATGTTATGAAAATATAATTATAATTTAATTAATATAAATAATCACATAAGAAAAAAAAACTGAAAGTGCAATTATCATTATGCACAAAACTATTTAATAAATTGCAAACAATTTATAATATTTAAGATTATCATTTTTATCCCCTTACCTTGATAAAAATAGAAATCTTTATCTCCAGATCCACTTTCTCCAATCCTGGTCCCATCCAAAACTTCAATTCCACTCGCCACATCCTCTCCCACACAATCAACACCTTGCTCGATTTGATCGAGTATAGAATTTTGAATTTCATCCAAATTATCAGCACCAAAAACATTTTCCAAATGTTTTACTTCTCCAGCCTCTTTCCCAGTTACATTTTCATTTAATGAAAGCTCTTCAGGAGCACATTTTGTCAATTTTTGATCATCTAATGAGAGTTGTTTGAAACTATCGGCTGTCAAATTTTGTTCATCAGCAGTTTGAGTTTTAGAATCGTCCAAGGATTGTTGTTTGAAGTCATTGGATTTAGTTTTGATTTTTGTAGCGCTGTTTAACTTATCAGCCTGGTATTGGTTAAGGAGATCAATTGCTTGCTGGATGAAACATGCTTCAGGAGTGAATTCCTCTACCTTGTAGGCTCGATTTAGATCTGCCAGATTGACATTGATCATATCCAAAATCTAAAAAAGTGATAACTGAAGTTAATTATAATGGAAAATTATTTAAAGAAGTAATAAAATATGTAATATTTTTACATTTTGTAAGTAAATGCTGCAACATTCATTTTGTTCATTAGGAGCCGCTCAAGTAATACTATAGGGGGCGGGGGGGGTTATTGATTTGCTTATTTTTGTGACATGGGAGGCAGGGGAGTCTAGATGATGATTAGGTCATAGGTAGTATTTTTATTTATTTATTATTAGAGCACCATGATGTTGAATGGCTCGATGAGAACGATGTAGACATTCTAAAATCAACTTACAACACTGAGCAGCAATCCAAGCAATCCAATGTCATCGAAAACTTAGAATCATTATGGAAGACTGTTAATTTGAATTTAATATGTGTACCAAAAATTTAAAATAAGTTCATTATGCTCGTAAGATTATAATAATTTGTTACTCTATGTTGAATACCATATCAGTAAAATCTCTACATCCTAAATCTATTTTCTTATTTTTAAAATTATAATTATAACCTAATAATTACAATATTTAAAAAAACAATACATTAATTGCAAAGTGTTCACGTAAGCATGGGGGTAGGGGGTAAGAGCTTTGCTTACTTTTGCTGACAAGGGGGATGGGGGGGGGGTAAATAAATGTAATAAATCTGCTTACATAATACTTGAACGATCCCTTACATAATTTTCATTAAAATATTTTTGAAAATATTGGCAAAAAACGATGAAAAATACCAAAAATAAACCAATTTTTAGTAGCCAATAACTTGAAAAATATTTGCTTTTTTGAAAAACGTTATAAAACATATTTTTCTTATAATTAGATCTATTGACATTCGACGTTATTTTGTAGAAATATAATTACATCACTGAGAAGGAGTGTAATTTCCTCAGGGGATGGCGCTGAAACACAAATTGCTTTCAGGGTAATATGAACCTAATTCCAAAATTTCATGCAAATCGGAGCACAGTAAAAAAATTCAAACCCCAAAACGCTTCATTGAGAAGAGTATAGGAAAATTTACCTGTTGCAAGTTAGCTTGTAACAACTTGCAATATTTAGAAGCAATCGGTCCATCACTGATGTTGGGCAGAACCAAATTATTTTGCATAGTGGAATCAACAGGCCAAGCTTGGTTACAATTTCTCGGTCTCCTCATCAGTTGCAATGTTATAGTGCTGTTTAAACCAAATGTTGCAATCGGGGCCCAGCACACACTAAAAGAATAATAAATATTATTTCATGATCTACAATTTTTATTTATATTATTATTTTTGTATTATTGTCATTATTTTATTTTATTTTAACTTTGTTTCGTTTTATATTCAATTCATTGTATTTTTAAAGTAAAACTTTTTAAGCGCGACTAGGGTGTAAATCCGTACAAATGCAACGGAAGTCCGTTACGCCCGAACTGTTCGTCATTCGCTCTTGATGAGATCATTGCTATAAGGGTCAATTGTGATTAGCCGTCGTGTATGTGAATAGAGATCTGTCGTTGTATGCGTCATTTTATGCTTATTTATCTATGGTATGCGTACCGGCATCAACGTTGTATGCGTACGGATATCAACAAGGAAACCTGCATAGCTAAATAAACATTTCAAAGTTACATTCTAGTACAAATCTTAATTTAATGAAAAATGCCTGAATAAGAAGAATATTTTACCCTGTGTTCCTTGAATATTTTACCCTCTGTTCCTTGAAAATAATAAAAAAAATGAAACATTTGGGCCGTGTACTAAACGTAAGTTTATTGATTAGAAATTATTTCTATATTATTCGTAGTTTCCATAAATCTTTTAAGTTATTAAAATGGAAAATATTTTCTAGGCAAGACAGATATTACAGCTGTTCAAAGAATGAGACTATGTCGCCAGCAAAAAAGTAAAAAAAATACAAGCAGTCGATGAATGTATGTTAATTTTAATTACATGAAGTTCTTCAAACACAATTATATGATGAGTGAAGTTGCGAAAACAATATTTGTTTAGACGTTGTTTAACATAATCCATTATGTGACATTAATCAGCAATTACTTTATTTCTCTAATGAAGGTTCATGTCATGTTTAAAGTATGACTTTAATTACATTATTGTTTTTAAGTATTATATTTTTAATGCTGTTATAAATATATAATTTATAATTTATCATTATATAAATGTGTATAATGGTTGACACTAATAAATGTGTACGAATGTTACCATATTACTAATAAACAATTTGTTCAAATTTGTTTGTTCAAATATATTATATGACGTATTTATTTTTACTTAAATGCCATCTTGTACAGTAGCAAATAAGTTTTACTTCAATCGTGTGTGAACCTTACGCGCACTCTTTTTTTATGTCTTTTCTTTTTGGTATCTATAAATTTTGTAAATAGGACAGGTTAAATTGAATTGGTTGAACAGTTTAATTGGTAAACATATAGAACATCTGGTAAATTGGTTGACAGGTAAAATAATGTATTGATAAACAGGTTGACAGTTAAATTGGTAGACAAGTAAATTGATGTACAGGTAAATTGGTGAACGCATTGTTGGACAGCTGGTAGTCAGGTAAATTAAAGTCTTGATTAACAAAAATAAATTATAACAAGAAAAAAAACAGATCTACAGTTTCATTGTTGATTTTCATTTTCATTTCATTCAATTATCTTACCTTTTCAAATCTTTAAGATGAATGGCTTCGTAACAAATGGGACACTTTCTCCATGGCTTATCAGACAAAGCCAAATAATGAAGTATGCAAGGGTAGCAATAAATATGACCGCAGCGGGTAATCCTTCCTGCCAATGGCTCTTCCAAACAAATGGGACAGTGCGGTGGATCTTCAGATTTAGTTATCTGTAAAAGATAAGTGTATAATCATGAAACTGGTGAAAACGTAAACTAGCCCTTCAGATAGGTAATAAACTTCCTTATCTATCTATATACATATATAAATGGAAGTATGTCTGTGTAATTGTTATGCAATCATAAACCATAAGTTCGATCGCCGTGAAAAACTGGAAAATTGTTAGGTAAATCCCCAGACAGGTTTTCGGATATTTTGATTGAAGCAAATTGGTGATTGATGTTTTTTTTTATTGTATTGGTAAATATTTATTTTTTATTTTTTTATAATAAATTTTTAACCTCCTACTGCAAACCCCTATCTTGTAAAAAGTATTACAGTAATTATGTTTTTTATTTATTTGTAGACTAGCAGACTGGTAGACGGGCAAACTGGCTGACAGGTAAACAGATAAATAGTTAAACAGGCAAATAGGTAGGATATAGGGAGGATATGCAAAATGGTAGACAGGACAACTGGTAGATAGACAAATATGTAGACAGATGAACAGGTTGACAAGTTAATTGCAAAACACATAGAACGAGATGAATAGGTGAACAGTTGGACAGCTAAACTGATAGGCTGATAAACAGGTTGAAAGGTATATTGGTGGTAAATGGACAGGCATATAAACAGATAGATAGATACGTCGACAGATGAACAGGTAGACAGGTATATTGGTAGATAGGTAAACAGGTTGACAGGTTAATTGGTTATATACATAATATAACCAATTACACAATACATAATATACACAATACATAATATAACCAATTACATAATACACAATACATGTAGAACGAGATGACAGCTCTAACTGGTAAACAGGTTAATTGGTAAACATATAGAACGAGATGAACAGCTAAATTGGTAGGCTTATGAACAGGTATATTGGGGAACAGTTAAACTGGTGGACAGTTAAACTGACAGGCTGGTAAACTGATAAACAGATACGTTGACAGATGATCAGGTAGACAGGTAAATGGAAGAAAAAATAAACCGGTGGTCAAGTAAATTTGAGAATAACGAGACAGAAAAAACAGGTTGACGGGCAAATTGGCAGACATATGAACGGGTTAACAGGTAAATTGGTAGGCCGAAGAAATGGTAAATTGATAAACTGGTTAATAGGTAAATTGATAGCCAAATTGTTGAACAGGTTAATTAGTAAACATATAGAATGGGATGACAGGTAAATTGGTTCATTGATGAACAGGTTGATAGTTAAATAGATAGACAGGTAAATTGGTGAACGGGTAAATTTTTAGACAGCTGGTAAATTGGAAGATATGTAGTAAAATAGTAGACAAGACAACTTTTAGATAGACGAATAACAATACAGATAAACAGGTTGACAGGTGAATTGGTAAACATATGAAAGAGATTGGCATGTAAATGGGTAGGCTGGTAAACTGATAGATTGAAAAACAAGTTGGCACGTAAATTGGTATAAAAATTGTTGAACAGGTAAATTGATGGTTAGCTAAATTGATAGACTGATAAACAGATTGACAAGTGAATTGGTAAATTGATGGACAGGTAAATTGGCTAGTAGTTTAAATTGGTAGACAGGTAAATTGGCAAACAGGGAAATTGTTGGACAGCTGGTAATCAGGTAAATTGAAAGTTATGTAAAATGGTAAAAAGGACAATAAACACAAAATAACAAGACAGATAAACAGGTGACAGACAGGATAAATTGGTAGACATGTGAAACGGATTGACATGTAAATTGGGTGACAAATAAATTGGTAGGCCGGTGAAATGGTAGATTGAAAAACAAATTGACAAGAAAATAGGTAGACAAATTGTTGAACAGGTAAATTGGTTGTTAGCTAGATTGGTAGATTGAAACAGTCTGACAGGTATACTGGTGAACAGATATACTGATGAACAGGTGAATTGATGGTCAGGTAAATTGGTAGACAGATAAACTGGTGAACAGGCAAATTGTTGGACAGCTGGTAGTCTGGTAAATTGTAATATATGTAAAATGGTGGACAGGACAAGTGGGTAGATAGACAAATAACAAGACAGATAAACAGATAAACAATTGATATATAAATTGGGTAACAGGTAAATTGGCAGGCCGGTGGTAAAATGGTAGCTTGAAAAACAAGTTGACAGGTAAATTTGTAAACAATTGTTAAACAGGGTAAATTGTTGAACAGACTAATCGGTAGACATATAGAATGAGATACAGATAAATTGATTCACAGGTAAAATGGTGTATTGATAAACAGGTTGTTAGGTAAATTGGTAGAGAGGTAAATAGTGAACGGGTAATTGTTGGACAGCTGGTAGTCAGATAAATAGGAAGATATGTAAATAGTAACAGGTAAGTTGATAGGCCGGCAAAATGATAGATTAAAAACAAGTTGACACGTAAATTGGTAGACAAATTGTTGAATAGATGAATTGTTGAATGGGTAAATTGGTGTTCAGCTAAATGGTAGACTGATAAACAGGTTGACAGGTACACTGGTGGACAGATAAAGGGATGGACTGGTAAATTGATGGACTGGTGGTAAATGGTTGACTGACAAACAGGTTGACAGGAAACTGGTACAGAGAGGAAAACAGATAGTAATCTAAACAAGAAGATTGGAATACAAAATAACTGGGAGGCTTAATGTAACAAATATACATTTTTGTTCAACTTGTAATATAAACTAAAACACCGCGAAGCGTAAACGGGTACTTACATTTGTTCAATATAATCCCATTCAACCAACGCATCAGGATTTTTTAAACAAATTGAATAATCTTCACCTTCTCGCACAATGAACTGGCAACTGAAAATAATAAAAACGATATTTAAAACTACACATTGATTTTTAAATCTATTATTATGAATAATATAATTGGGTTTCCCTTACACTTACTTGGCTTGTAAATAATGCTCCTTATTATACTTAGGATAATTAATTTTTCCCTTTTTGTATTGCCGTCCATAATTCGTAGGACCTCCAACAGATCGGGGAGTATAGTGAAAGTTTAAAAGATGATTCAAACTTTGCTTTTTGTGCCCAATTTCATTACCGAACCTGGTTCGAGTTGTTCAAAACTCTAGCCTAAGAAACAAGAACAAATGATTAATAAAATATAAATGATTATAATAGAAAATGGATGTAAAAAGAGT